TGCATAAAGCAATGGTCCTCTGCAAGAGCCTCCCCAGGTTCTCTCATACTGAACACTGATATATATTAGTATTTTTTGTCTTTCGTTATTCTTACACTGATGTGCTCAGCTAAAATCTTATTCCCCTCCTACGAGCATGGCAGTAAAATGCTTTTAGCCCGCTTATTTTACCAAATCTTCCTAAAACTTCAGAAAAAAATTTACGAAATCCCTCAAAATTATGACTGAACATTTCATTATGAAAGACTGTTAAGAGGAAGGGTTAGCAGGCATTTATTCTCTCCATCCTAAAACCTGGAAGGTAGGATCACAAAGTGTTGGGCAAGTATTTATTCTTGCTGACATCAGTCCACATGCATCAGATACTGAGTGGCAGTCACAGGAGTACATTTTTCAACACCTTTTAATCATCAGTGAAAAGAACAGTGAGCAAAAAACCTAATAACATAAGAAAAAATTACCGAAAAGCAACCAGACCTTTTTTTCTTGGAATAGTAAACAAAAGACAATCTAGGAAAGGCAGAGCTGTATCCCTTTTTCACAACTTCATTTAGCAGCTCACTACAGTCAGGTCATGCAAGATAGTACCATTCCCCTCCAAGGTCACATACAGCTCCACAGAGGGTGCCACTGCCCAACAGCACAGCAGTGTCATTGGCACAGTGTAGAAATAGAATGTGTAAAACAAAAGTAACTTTTACTACACAGGACTTCAGAACATGGTCTGAAGGCCAAGGTGGTATGTTACAATCCTAAATTAAAACTGCTTCTGTATGACAGGGGAGAGTTCCCACTAATCCAAGGATCCTGCACAGTCCCAAATAAGGGGACATAGCAAGGTACAAAGGTCATTACTCCTTTCTTTTCCTACTCCAAAGAAATCCAGACCATACTTATACTTTTCCACCTCTCCTTTAGCTATGTCATGAGGATTTGTCCTCTTTTTCTGTCCCTTTAGTCTTTCTCCAGAATCCCCATCATTTGCCATCCCAACATCTGCAATCGCCTAACAAAACTGTCATGCCTCCCCCTTGTCACAATCCCCTTCACCCAGTCCACTACAAAGATACACCTATTAATACCGACACAACCACGTTGTTCCAGTCATACCATTCCATGTTTATTTCCTTTCTCCAGATCACACTTTCCCTCTGCCTCTTGCTCTCAAAGACCTTCACAAATGAATCTCTTCTCTATTCATTGCCTGACATGAATCCTGTAGTAGGGAGGTAAAAGACATATGGTGTCAGCAGATGCAGTGGGGGAAGATTATGTTCTACTTCAGCAATGTTCTGCTTAAGGTGCTCGAGAGAGGTGACCCAATGGACTGAAGGAAATGGTCTGAGAGATCCAGGCAGGCCTGGTGTAGTAGCAGTGGATGATCACGACGTAATTCCAGAGGCTGCCAAATGTTGAATGTTACCACCACAAAGCAAGAAAGTATGTTTGAACAGAGACCAGCTGGAGGAAACTCCAAAAATGACATCAGGATATCTAGAGAAGTACTGCTAACATCCAAAAAATAAAGTACATAAAAGAACAATGATTCTAAATAAATGGTGTAGTCAATGAGAAGGGATTAGAGATCCTGAGATGCTAAGATTTGGCCTCTTGAAGATTACTTGTTCAAATCCCCACCCTTGATGAGGATTAGCCCAGGAAGTGTGTTTTGCATCTTCCACCTAGATACTGACATATTTGAAGTGTATCTCTCTATTCAGTTCTTAAAACCTCAAATTGCACTCTAAAATGCACACTCAGCAGACATTCTCCAGTGATTCCAACCACCTTAGAGATGACTCAGAAAAGTTGTTTGTTACAGAAATTTAAAATTTCAATCCATCCCATGGCAGGAAACAAGAACAGTCTTCTTGGGTTGGTACTTTACAGGTTTTAGTACCTCAGTGAGATGAAAACTTCCTCCCTTTGAGATGGGAGGCTGGCAAGCCTTTGTTAGTGGCAAGCCCAAATTTAAGGTGATATGCCAAGAACTCGCGTATATTCCTGGACACAGTCACCTCAAAAATCCCTCAGTCGTTAAACAATTATTAAGTTAAGCCTAAAGAGTCTTGCAAACCTCAGGCTTTCCAGACATCCTGCTTATGGAAGTCACCAGAGCAATAGTCTAGTCTAGCTTTGCAAATTGCAGTGTCCTCTTCAGGTGTCCTCAGCTGCTGTTATGTCACAGGCACTGGGACAACTCTTCAGGTTGGGTCCCGACCTGTTTATTAAGCTGAATGCCTAAAGTGTCTTGCTGCAGGTTTAGCAGCCGCTGAAGGAAGCCCTGGAGACCGGGCTGGACACCAGTAAAATTTTTTTCAGATCAGCCCCAAAACTTGCTTTGGGCTCTCAGGTGCAAGCGGTGTCTGCTGACTTGGGCTAGAAAATGGAGGCTGGCGGGAGCAGTCCATGGCACATGGTTCAGCCATGTCGGTGTTTGGAAAAGGCAGAGTTCCATGGCCACGCCAGCCCCAGGATAGCGGATTTTTCTGTTAACAGCCACAGAGGGCTGCAGTTATGATTTGGTATAGAAAGGGTGGGAATGAAAACACACAGAGCATCCCTCCTTGGGAAGCAGTGCCAAAGGTCAAACAGAACAACAGCCCCCTGTGCACCTTCGAATGTGAGAACAGCCCTTTCTCTTGTTCTTTACAGACACAAATAAGGAAACTGCATTGGGGGCTGCAGGGAAAGCAGAGGCCACGGAAGTCATCCTGGAACTGGCAAACAGACAGCAGGAGCAGCAGCTGGGTACAACATTGTCCTTTTACGTTCTGTGAAGCCATGCCTGCTAAAACACAAGCCTGCAGGGCTCTGCAACTCCATCATTCTCTGAGATGGGCCAGATTGGCACTAGGAAAAAAATACAAAACCCAGCAAATCCAAGCACCCAAAAGGCAGAAGGATGCCTTCAGGTACACACACAAAGCTGTACATATACACAATCAACATCCCATACTTCCTCATGCCAAAGGCAACCGAATCTGCAAAAGAAGATGGTAAAAACCATTGCGGGGCATCCCCCTCGTAAACCACTGGGAAACATAACTCCTAAAGTCTTTCATTTTGATGAAGCTCTGTATTACCAGATTGATAAAGTCAGAAGAAAATAGTATCTGAGGAACTACCCTTGAGGGAGTGGAGGGCTGCTGGGCAAGTTTAGCACAGGTCTTTGTGATGGCAAAAAACCAAAGGCACAGCCACTTTGTTCTGCCCCTGGGATCCAGTTAACCCTGGCTACAGGGCAGAGCTTAATTGTTTCTTTCTAAAGGAGCTAGGATAAGGCAGAGGTGAGGGGAAGCTAATCAACCTTTAAATACTTTACCATCTGCTAACAACCAAGCAAGTAATGGTTTAACATTTGCTTTGAGGACAGTTTACCAGCCCCTCTAGACAACAAAAAAGACCAGGCTTAGGAACAGCCTCTCTATGATGTGAGGGAGAGTAAAGAGATTAAAAAAAAAAAGGTAGTACATGGGAGGATGTATACAGCATCTAAAGCCTTACAAAAGGAGTGGTGATGTGAGGGAGAGAGAGTAAAGAGATTAAAAAAAAAAAAGGTAGTACATGGGAGGATGTATACAGCATCTAAAGCCTTACAAAAGGAGTGCTTTGCTTTTACAAACACCAAAATATAATGCATATCACTACTGAAAGTATCACTGTTTTCCAGCAAGATTGTGAGCTTATAAAATAAGATGAAGCAGACTATAAAGACTGGCAGCTGATGGTCCCCAATATGTGTGTGATAAACATTAATGAGAAAACTTATTACATTCCAATATTTGACCTTAAAAGGCCAAGGAAGGATCCTCACTACACTGCCTACAAGGTGGTTCAAGTAAATTACACCCATAACTAGCCTAGTGCATCTGTGGAAGGAAAACAACCACAGCCTCTCTCTGCACTAAATATTAATGTCTAGGCAGACAAAAGCAGCACTAGGAACACTGTAATAATATCACTGGCAGACACTCTATGTGTTTCTTTGGGGCATTGACACATCAGCACTAGGAATATGCCTATTGTCCCACATTAAACTAATGACTTGTTCTGAGAATCACAGATGTTATTTATCTTTTCAGACATTTAAAAGGATTACAGTGTGTTTATTCTCAGTAATCTCGTTTGTAGAGAAAGATATACAGGCATCAGGAGTATGCATTTTAACCCTGCTGGGGATGATCAAATACACGGTGGCGTTGGCAGCCACCTACCCTCCTCTTCAGTATTCAGGACCTCCAAAAGTCCCACCAGCCTGGCTGCTTCCATTAAAAGTACCTATGAATTGCAGGTTACAGGCACTTCTGATAAACTACTCCATGAGCTCTTGGTGACAGCAAGCTGTGCATATATCCAAGAGATCCAGCTGGAAATTAAACTGCATGCATGTCAAGTAGCTCGATTCATATAAAATTGCTCTAGGCTGGAATGAAATATCTCTGGTTGAAGACAAACAAGTAGAGCACTGGGCGATACGGTGCGCCCCGGGCTATGAGGAAATTTATAAGCCGTTTTAATGGAACAGACGTGCCAAAGTACTGGGCTGGTGGCAAAACGAGTAGCTGGCCAGGAGGTGAGGTGCACTGCAAGCATCCGGATGGATACAGGAACAGCTGCAGGCTGCGAGGGATGGCAGCCCTGTCTGCAGAGACACGGTGCTGTACAAAGCCCGCCGCAGCCTGCGCTGCCCGGGCGGCAGCCAAAGCCGAAGGTACACCGGTTCAAGTTGCTGCCGAGCGGCTCCGCTACCGCCGGCGCTCCTGCCCCGGGGCCGGTGCCGCTCCGCCACCGCCCGGCCGCCGCGCCACACTCGGGGATTCCTCCCGGCATCGCCCCGGCTGCACGCCCAGCTGGCAGCGGCTTTCGGCCAGGGCTGCCCGGCAGCGATCCCCGCGCCGCTCTGCCGGTACCGGGACCGGCACCGGGACCGACACCGGGACCGGCACCTCTCCCCCATCCCCGGCCGCCGCCGCCTCCCCGCCAGGCTCGCTCCTTACCCGTCTCTTTGTCCTGGGCGGCTTCCAGGTGCAGGTCGCTGAGGAGATGCTCCAAAATCTTCTCCGGCGTCCCCGACACCACCACGTATCTGTCGGAAAGCAGAGAGTCCCCGGAGTCATCCTCGGTGGAGGACTGCGAGCGGCTGCTCCACTCATCCTCCTCGTCCTCCTCGTCGATGTACTTGAAGTAAGGCACGTCGAAGGTGGGCAGCGGCCGCTCCCCGCCGCGGCCCGCCAGCGCCTCGGGCACCCGCACCCTGCCGCTGCCCATGGCGCCCCGCTCCCTGCGCGCCCGGCCCCTAAGCTCCCCCCCCGGGGGCCATCGCCCTGCCGGGCCGCGGGCCGCTG